CGGCGGGTCCGGGCTGGGGACTCGAACCCGCCACCCCAGGTGCACGTGGCTGGCGCCCTAGCCGGCTGAGCCATAGGCGCCGAGCCGGGTGACTAGATTTTAACATTTGTAAAGCGGGACAACATAGCCGGGGAGCGGGGTGGAGGCAGGGCAGGGGACGGGGCAGGGCAGGGCCTGACAACAATGCAAACTTTGATAAGCAGTTCTCGATAATCACTTCTCAACAATTATTTGTTATTATTACAGTTTAACATTGTAAAATTAACAAAAATAATATAAAACTTACATTCGGGCGAAATAGCCACATGGCAGCCGAAAACCGTATATTCCCTTCCTGTTCTCCTGCCCGTTCGTGCATTCTTTCCAAAAATCGGGACTTTTTAAAAACGCCGCAGGACGGGGGACAAATTGATTAAAAAGCGGGACGCCTGGTCACCCTATACAGCCTTATCAAGCCCTTATTTACGTTAACCTGGCCTTGTGGCACTTGAGCTTACATAAAGCTGCCGAGGATAGCGAATAAAACCAATATCACTTTACCTTGACTGCACGAGGCCGTCGTCCCTCTCGGTATTTGGCTCGCGTGTCGCATACCTCCCTCTGGACGTGATGGTCAAATAAGCCCCCAAGCTGCCCTCCACCCGACGCCATCTTGCCGGCTTTGGTCATCTCAAGAAAAACAACATCCGCCTTGCGGATCTCCTGTTTATCCAATAAGAGAGCTAAATGGGTGAAGACGTGTCAGGATTGGCTGGAGAATCGACAGCGTCGGCTATCGTTTCCTGCGCGAGAGGACTGGGTGAACGAGGTGCTGCCTCCTAGCGTCTCGGCGGAGAGGTCCGGTAGGTGCCAGAAGCTTGTTTGTCCCACCCCCTACTGGCGCGCCGCGAGAGGCGCAGCGGGGAGGGGGGCGGGGCCGATCGATCTTTTCGAGCTACGACGCCCTCGGCCTGCCCGGGCCGGGGTCAGCCGCGGCGATCGGCAGGCGACCCCGGAGCGGCGCCTCTGGACCATGTGGGGTAGCGATCGCCTGGCAGGTGCTGGTGAAGGCGGGGCAGCAGTGACTGTGGCCTTTACCAACGCTCGTGACTGCTTCCTTCACCTGCCCCGGCGCCTCGTGGCCCAGCTGCACTTGCTGCAGGTAACACGCCGTCCCCGGGACGTCCCCTGCAGCCTCGGGTGGGACGAGACCGAGGCCTTTTAGGGATTCAGCGGCTGCTAGGGCCTTTGTCCTCAGTGGGGCACCGGCTGCTTTCAGGACGCCCCTGATCGGTGCAGAGTCCAGACTGAGGGCCCCTGGAGGGCGGGGCGGCTCTGGGTAGAGTCCACATCTCACGCCTGGTTTAGTGCACCCCGGGCCGTTAACTTGTCTTATGCCAGGTCTTCTCAATCGGTGAAAATGGGCTCTGAAACACCGTAACATTCTACCTCTGTATTCAGAAATACACTTTAGAATGGAAAAGCTCTTGAAAAGTCGTTTATTTTTATTTTGAAAAATGTTTTACCTGCAGTCTATTTTCAGTTACTTGTGCTACTGCCTTCTATACCTTAATAGGGATTGTGTACCACGTCCCACGAGCAGGAAAAGTTAATAATGATGCTTCTTGCCGGCATCGCTGACCCTTGGAACCCAGCTGAGGTGTGCTAGGAACGTGCGGTGGAATTCTGTATACCTGCACGTATTGTGGTCAGGATCACTGGAACCTCTGTGGACAGCAGCTCGTCTGGACGTTGTGTATCTCACAGTTATACCTGCTAGGAGATACCGCATCCATATTTTCATAATCAAAAATAGAGGCACATGGTCTCACAAATTTGAGTGTGGGGGCAAAGGAATAGGATATTTGAAATCTTCAAAATCCAGGATGCATAATACCCACCACTGGCTAAACCATGCAAGAAATATCTAAGTTATGGGTAGCACCTGTGGCACAAAGGAGTAGGGCGCCGGCTCCATATGCTGGAGGTGGTGGGTTCAAACCCAGCCCGGGCCAAAAACTGCAAAGCAAAAAAAAAAGAAAAAAAGAAAAAAATAATTTCAAGCATCTCTTTTTTTCCACTTTATCTACTTAACTATAGTTATTTTTCTGGATTTTTGGGTCAATCTTTCAAAATAAATCAAATTCAGCAGAATCCTTTATTTTTTTTTTAACTTTTAAGTAGCTTTTGACAAGCTTCCTTAATGGCTAACGAAGAATCAGTGACTGTCACCAAGTTCCAGGTAGAATTTGGCTCAGTGCTGTCAGAGTGAGCTTTGATGAGATTTCAATGTGTTTTCAAATCTGCACCAAATGAGTTTATTGGAATAAACTTTCCACTGAATGAACTTATAGGTATACTTCCTTATAGTAACTCTTCCATCACTAGTAAGGAATTTGGCTGTCTTGATCTTTGTTTTAAATTTTGAGCCTTCAAGAAGTATTCATAAGAATTAATTCGTGGATATCACTTTAAAATGTAAATGTTTCTATTCACCCTATAGCAGCAAAATATGCCAATTTTTCTTTCAAATTATCAAAGTCATGCACATGTCATATAAAAAAAATTGGAAAGCATGGAAAATTATTAATGAGAAAGTAAAAACTACCCATAATTTCAGAAACTAAAGGTAACTAATACTGACAGTTTAGGTCAAATCTTCCAGTTTTATTTCTAACATTTATTTTTAACAGAAATGAGGTCCATCCTGCACCCATAGAGTTCTGTGTCCTGCTGTTTTTGTATAATGTTATGAGTGTTTTATTTTGTTAAGCAGTAATTATCATTTTAAGTTGTTAAACAGTAGCCTCGCACAAGTTTGCCATAATTTTGTTTGTTGTGATTTTAATTTATGCTCAGTTTTTAGACATTAAAAGTGATACTATAATTATATTTTAATAAAATGTTAAAAATAGCACACCTTTGTTTATAAAATATTGTTTTCACTTCTGGTTATTTAAGATAAACTCCCAGAATTTATTGGGTTAGAGGACAGAGAGAAAGCAGAAAAGCTGACAAGTTGGGAGTTAATAGGTTGGATTATTGTGTTTGGGCTAAAGCATTGAGTACAATTACAATATAGATAATATAGTAACAGAACAATGGTTTTCTGGCCTGTGTCATACTTACCTTGAAGCTTGTAAAAATACAGATGTGCTGTTCTTTCCTCAGACCTACTACATCAGAATCTTTCCGAGTAGGCTTTAGGCATCTGTAATTTCATTTAATTTTATTTGGGGACAGAGTCTCACCCGGTTGCCCTGGGTAGACTGCCATGGCATCACAGCTCACAACAACCTCACACTGTTAGACCTGAGTACCTGGGACTGCAGGTGTGTAACACAACCCCTGTTTAGTTTTACAATTTTAATAGAGACGAGGTCTCCCTCTTGCTCAGGCTGGTCTCAAACTCCTGAGCTCAAGCAGTCCACCTGCCTTGGCCTCCCAGAGTGCTAGGATTACAGGTGTAAACCACTGTGCCTCATCTGTAATTCTAAAAATACAACCTTATCTGTAATTCTAAAAATATCTTCAGGCTACTTAGATGCACAAGAGTTGAGACTCACTGTTCTAGAATCATAAAATGTTAATGGTGGAAAGGACCTTAGTTATCTAGGGCATTAATGAATTTAAGGGAACTGGCATTCTTAGGCCAGCACCATTTCCATGCGTTTAATTTGCCCTCTTATCTGTAGCTTACTCAGCACAATACAGTTTAGTTTGCTCCCTGTTTCTTCCATAACCATCTCCTTCCCTCTTCTGTTCTCTTACTCATGCCGTTCTTCTCTAAAGCATTTGTACTCCTTTTGTACAAGTTCTGTGCCTTTTTGAAGAGTATAATCATACCTCTTCCACATAGCTTTCCAATTTTCCATCCTCCACATTTGTCTCCTTTTCAAAACATCACTATCGATGTTATGTAACAAATCTCAGTTGTTAAACTCTATTCTACGTTTTTTCAAGTATAGTCTTCTCTTGTTTGCCTAAATCTTTTATTTTAGGATTGAGTAGCTGGTAGAAGCTTTAAGTTAGGATTTGTCAGCCTTGGCACTGTTGACATTTTGGGCTGGATAATTTCTTGTTTGGGGGACTATCCTATCCTGTACATTGTAAGATGTTTACATACCCTTGGCCACTATCCACTAGATGCAGAAACCACCTTCTTCCCCCAGTTGTGACAACCAAAAATGTCTCTAGATGCTGTCAGATGTATACTAGAGGACAAAATTGCCCCTGGTTGAGAACCACTGCCTCCACTCAGCAACCTTGTCTTGCCTGTAGGCTAGGGACTTGCTGTGATCCCACTAGGGGGAGAAGATTTCATGCAAACAAATGGCCACACATTTTTGTCATCTCCCTTATGTTAGCAAGAGATATGTATCCTGAGGCCTTGGACCTGAGAATTCCTAAGACATTTCCAACCTAAGATTTCACCTGAGGATTTCCTTTGTGATAATACTGATACAGCTCTTTGGACTAACGCAGACAGTCAGTTTATTCATTGATGAGATTAAACTCTTGGAAAAGAGGTGCCTTTCTCCCCTCTACCTGAATATCCAAGGACTCTGGGATTCAGGGTGTTTTTCACATAAAAATGAACTCAGAACATTGGTCTGCAAAGATCACTAAATCTAACTGAGCCCAGACTATATGGAACTAGTATTTTCCTATTTAATAAAATTGATCTTTCGTTTTGTCAGTGAGCTAGTAGCGTTCTCTTTTTTAATATTTCAAGGTATAGTTCATATTTCCTTATTTAATGTTTCTGGCTTTAAAGGTTCACATGAAATAGGAGACTTGATCTGGATTATATCACTGAATCTGGGGGTTTGGTCGCCTTCACACTTGAAGCTTCAGCTCACACAGTTACAGCTGAGATAGGAACTTAGGGCTTCTTTCTAATTGCAGATCTAGGGCTCTTCCTCCTTTATCAAACTGCACCTGATTGAAAGAATATGTATCAGAACAGGTGAACTGTTCTGTGAAAATTGTGAGAAAAATTACACAACTGAATGATACATGATGGCTTTCTGGTATTTAAAATTTTAATAACCTAGTTAATTTCAAGTGCATTATATTGCCTCAGAAGTGGCTCCAGTGTCCTTTAAAATTCGTTCTGTTTAAAGAAACAAACAGTGGCTCAGCGCCTGTGGCTCAAGTGGCTAAGGCACCAGCCACATACCCCTGAGCTGGCGGGTTCAAATCCAGCCTGGGCCCACCAAACAACAATGACGACTGCAACCAAAAAATAGCCAGGCGTTGTGGTGGGCGCCTGTGGTCCCAGCTACTTGGGAGGCTGAGGCAGGAGACTCGCTTAAGCCCAGGAGTTGGAGGTTGCTGTGAGCTGTGATGCCACAGCACTTTACCCAGGGTGACAGCTTGAGGTGCTGTCTCAAAAAAAAAAAAAAAAAAGAAACATAAACAGTACCTAGTTTTGAGCTAGTAAAATCATGTAAGTGAATGGATTTGATATTTAATAGTTTAAATTAATATTGATAGAAATGGATGAATTTAATAAATACTGAAGTTTCCTCATGTAATAATTCTTGATGGTCATTAGCCAAATATTTACTTTTTATTCAAAAATGACATATGTGTAAAAATGCTCACACTGCAATATTTAGTGAGGACAAAGGGTATGAAATTGTTCCTTTAGTATACAACTATGTACAAAATTAACTTGCACGTAGAATAAAGAATTAGCAA